TCCGGATGGGGAGAGTACAATTGGGCATGCGTAGTCGGGGGAAAGGTGTTGGCGATTTTGGATATCCGTGTTCTTTGTAGCGAGTACCTAATGTACTGGCTTTATGGGCCGTGGGCCAGGCACCTAGTATGTACCTACTATATGTAGTGTTGATCGGCTTGGACAAATGGCGTGTAAATAAGTGCGCATGGAACAAGGTTGATTTGAGGTGTATCTACTCTATGTATACGCACGGAATACTGAAAATGGTAACTTATTCAAACGAGAATTAAAATGTGCATTTCAGAGAGAGGGAGAGAGGGGGGGAGCAATGCCGCTCGGCGCTGGTACGTCCGGGCTCTCGAGTTCTTGGGGATCGGTTTCACCAGTTCTGGCCCATTTCTTATTACAGTCTATACCTTTGCTGCACTTGTAATCCGACAGCCACAATTGGCAAACATTAATGACAAAGTGATTTCATTTTCACCCTCCAGCCCAAGTTATACTGCACGGTGTATACTTAGGTACCTCCTCCTATGGAAGTATCTATGTACATACGGAGTACTCCGTACCTCCATTGTCCAACTGTTCAGTGTTCACTGTTGAGTCTTGACGGCCACCGCCCCGCTTCACGGCTGTCGGCCCTCCCCATTCGGCAGGAGCGGGGTACGGCGTGTGAGCCCGTCTCTTGCCCTGTTCGCTCCTTCAAGCTTGTTAGAATTGATCATCTCGCGCGCAGCCCCTTTTCCGAGCATCTTCGAGACCAACCCTGTGCTCGGCGCGTCGCCATGAGAGCATTAATACACAAAGTCCGCTCTCGGAAATAGGCTTTGCCTCACTGCTCTTGTCGTTTTCCTCTTTCCGATTACCTACGTTGCATGCGCTCGGACCTCGCTGTACCACGTGGCCGAGGATGCTGGCAAGACAGCTGACATCATAACCTACTTGCGACAACGGCGCCCTCTCTCTCTCGTGCTCTCACGAGCCTTTGTGATCCCCATTTCACCCATCTCTCGCGACGCCCCTGGGGCCGAAGTGTTCTGGGAAAATGCTGCTCCTGCACCAGATCGGCAGTGTCAAGGTCGGCGAGGTGATCCGATACAACCTCACGTACTCGCCCTCGCAAGATCGAATCCTCCCCTCCCCCGAAAAACTACATGTTCGAATTCGAAATACCTCGACCATCGCCCTTCGCGCTGCCTTTGTCCACGGGCCCTACACCCTGTCCGTTTCGGCTTATCCTTCTCACTTCAACCCCAATGAAAAGTTCACCAATCCTCGCCGGTACGGAGCCCCCCGGTTCGAGCCCATGCTTAAGGCGGGGGGATCCTGGGAGTGCGAGCTGATCGTCCCAGACAACATTCGCCAAGACGCCGGCATTGGAAGCAACAAAACCTTTGGAAAGGGTCCTGAACATGATGGAGAATGCGCAAAGTGGGTGATTGAAATAGCCTCCCAGGTCATATTCTCTACTTCAGCTGCCGTGGGCTTCGATGTAGTCGTGGCGCGCGACCATAAATCTCTCAACCTCAGCCAGTCGCTGTCGTCGATTGGGGGCAACTTCAGCCAAGTGCCGCAGCCCGGAAAACTGATCGATCACCGGCAAAGTGCCGGTGCCAAGGATGGGCACCATCCCGGTCAGCCAAAGGGTGTCTTCTCAAGGGCCATACAGCTCAAGGTGGAGGACTCCGCGGCGCTTTGGAACACGCCCAGCCTTCCCGGCTGTGATGATGACGCTGTAAACAAGAGCGCCGGAAAGGACGCCGGTGCTGATCAGCCTGTGGAGAACGTGGTGAACACTGGTGATCCGGAGATCGAGGAGCTGAAACAACCGAAAAAGCCACATGGGAAGAAAAAAAAGGTCCATCTTGTCATATTGACGCATGGTCTGCACAGCAATTTAGGCGCTGACATGCTTTACATGAAAGAAAGCATCGATGCGGCCGCTAAGCAAGCACGCATTGATGCGAAGGCCAGAAGGGCAAAGGAGAGAGCTGCAAAAGAGCCAAGGGCCGATAACCAACCTGGTGGCACAATGAACGAGGATATGCCGTCTAGAGAAGGCCAGGATAACATCGCAAATGATGTGGATAATGATGATGACGACGATGACGATGAGGAAGTCATCGTGCGTGGATATCCTGGAAATGCTACAAAGACAGAGAAAGGCATCAAGTACCTTGGGAAGAGATTATCGCGGTATATCCTATCAATGACGTACCCAGACCAACCATTTCTTCCGATTGCGAAAGGTGCTCTGAAAGGCTGCGCCGGTGAGGGTGCTGTTGAAGCCCTAGCGGATGATCACCATCATCACAACTATAGTCTCCATCCTCATCATCTCTTTCACCAGGACCAGTCACACCAAAATAGCACTCACGAGGTGAAACAAGCGCACAAGAATAGTGACATTCAAGCCGATACTACCAAGGCAAAGCATGATAGACACTACAGAAGTTATCAGATCACAAGCATAAGTTTCGTCGGACACTCTCTCGGCGGTCTGATTCAAACATACGCTATTGCTTACATACAGAAACATTCGCCCAAGTTCTTTGATCTTATCCAGCCCGTGAATTTCATTGCGATGGCGACCCCTTTTCTGGGGTTAAGCAACGAGAACCCACTTTATGTTAAGTTCGCCCTTGACTTTGGACTTGTAGGCAGGACCGGACAAGATCTGGGCTTGACCTGGAGAGCGCCTACCATTGCTCGGATTGGATGGGGCGCTCTTGTCAGCAACCTCGGCGAGTCCGCGCATAAGAAGGTGTATGGCGAATCACAGCCCGAGTCGAAACCACTGTTACGGATATTGCCCACCGGCCCGGCTCACACGGCCCTGAAGAAGTTTAGAAACCGCACAGTCTACTCCAATGTGGTCAATGACGGAATCGTGCCGCTCCGCACAAGCTGTCTCCTGTTTCTCGACTGGCAGGGTCTTGGCCGCGTCGAAAAGGCTCGGAGAGATGCCGGCTTGGTAGAAACGGTTGTTGGGTTTGGGTGGGCAGAACTGACCGGCACGAACATGGCGTCATCGAGACGCAAGAAGCAGGTCGCCTTGGAAGAAGAGCAGCAAGACGATTCTGGCACCACTACTCCCAAGGGCTCTCCCAAAGAGGGCATGCGACAAGTTCCGCAGCCTTCTAGTGATGCGATCCATGAGGACGAACGAGCTAGCATCCGTTCTGTACCGCGGGCCCATAGTGATGAGGATGACGAGCCGGGTGTAGAGAACAGCAGCAGCAACAACCATCACAATGGTCCAGGCTCTGGTATCAATTCTCGCTTATCCACCTTTTTTGGTCTTTTCAAGAGCCAAGATCCGCCCAAAACTCCAGTTCCGACGGCGAAGCAAAAAAGGATGCTGCGGCGAGGACAAACTATGCCTCTTGTCAGCCCCGACATAGCCGCCTCGAGCTCCACTGACGAGTCTGATAGAAAACAGCAGCAGCCGCAGCCAAGCAAGGCTACTACCGGTCATGAGGTTGATGGCTATGCCGATGGCATGTCGGCACCGCCAAAGACGACTTTCTTCGAATCAGCAGGCGATGTGCTCAACCCCAGTATCCCAAGCGAAGAATACCTACTTGACCCGTCTAAGCGATCAAGAACCATCTTTCACGACCGAGTATACCATCCGAGTGATATCCCTCCGCCGCCGCCGCCGTTGAAGAAACGCCAGTCGACGTTCGGTCGTCGCAGCAAGAATTCTGCCAAGATTTCAGGCTCGCCGCAACCATCAGAGCCAGGCAGCCGTTCAACGTCTCCTCTCCCGCCCAACAATCCGCTGCATGCGGATTCCAAGGAAACCGCCTCGGGCAAAGACCACGGCGACGACACAGCCAAGACCAGCCCCGAGCTCAACCCCTCGGAAACCGTAGACGCTTCCAACATGAGAGTAGAAGAGAAAATTGCCCGAGGCTATCATCGGGATCTGTCGTGGCGCAAAGTACTGGTCAAATTGGAGCCAGACGCGCATAACAACATGATTGTGAGACGCATGTTTGCCAACGCGCATGGCTGGCCGGTGATCAAACACATGGTCGACGCACACTTTAGCGACTCCGAGACCGCACGCGTTCGCGATGAAGAAGAGCCCAACATGGATCGAGCATTTGAAGTCCATCACGGACCAGCCGCCGATGGACGAGAAGTAAGGCCTTTGCACCAGCTGCGCAATGAAGGTGGCCACGCCAGCGGTGGGAGCAGCAAGCGCGAGAGCGGTGGAGAAGTCAACGAAGCCGGCGAAGAAGCTTTGGACGAGGTACCCGAGCTGCCCAAGAAGAGCGACAGCGAGAGCATCCCCCTCGGGCGTCCGCGACTCGAAGCCTCAGACCGAGCGGATTCCATGACGTGGAGTGACCGAGACTGGGTGGACACCGATAACGAGAGCGATATGGAAGTTTACAGTGGGGGAAAAGCTGGCCAGCAGCAGCAGTCGCAACAGTCGAAAGGGTCGTCAGATACAGCTGGAACTACCTCCCCGACTCTGAGTCCCTCATCGTGGAAGTGGGCAGCCGAGAAGATTGTGGGCAAAGGGGCCGTGGGGGGTCGGAGCAAGAGTCCCCAGTCGTAACGGGGATTGTGGTGACGGCTTTGCTTTGCTGCGGCATTATTCATCTGTGTGTACATAAAAGCTTGGATGGGAGGGCTTGTAAGGGGCTGGTGCGGTGCTGTCTGTATCTGTGTGTATATATGAGGTTGAGCGAGAGGCGGTTTCCAAGAGGCATGTTTTCACTCATGATGGAGAGGATACTTTACCTTTTTAATACACTAGATTCGCGTCCTGAGGGAAGGTTTTTCCATCGAGTTGTGGTCATCATGGGTATGTCGCGTGTTCAGTCACAGCAATGTGTACGGACAACTCGCTTACCAGGTATCGCACCTCGAAACGTTTTGGGCAAAAAAAATGAAGAACAGAAAAAATGTTCTGTGCCCGACTCGGTGGAGGATTTGTGTCCACTGTCAGTGTTAATGATGAGGGCGAAAAAGATGATCAAAATGGTAAAAAGAATTGTGACTGGACGAACAGGGAATCGAACCCTGGACCACTCCCAATTGTCGCACCGTTTATCAGATCTCAAAGGTCTGTAGTCACGTTATGCTAAGGGAGTATTATACCACTAAACCATTCGCCCGGTTGAATGTGATGACCCCATGACATCGCATACTATAAATGTATTAACAAAAAGTTAGGTACTCGCATGCTCGACACCTTTGTCGGTGGCTTTCTGCCATCTCATCACTCTTCAGCAGCTACCACGGCGTTTCTAGAAGCCATATGAGCTCAAAAAAAACACACAATCTCATCAAAGCTTGCACTTTTGTGCAATGTGCAATGTGCATCGCTGAGGTTATTTCCCGCGCGGCAAGTAAGTGGGCCTGATCGACAAAGTTTAAGATATCAAACGTCGGCAAGTTCGCCGCCTCAGACGCTCCAAGAAGGCGCGCACCGTGCACGTGATGCTGCAGGGCCCTCTGGCAAGTACGTCACCAGTGGCCCACGACATGCCGTCAAGGATTTATGTACACCAACGACGAAAGTAAGCAAGTTGCTGTCACGAATCCCTTTATTCCTGCTAGCTCTGCTCTTTCTGCCCTTTCTGCGTCCTCATCGAAGCCCACGCTTCACGGCGATCCTCTCTCTGTTGCCGTTCCGCGCCATGGAGCAATAGGTAGAATCCGCCCTGCATCTCATCCCTGGCCGTTTCCACTTTGTCGCAAAGCTGCGCCCTTCTGCGCTTCCTCGAGGAAACTACCTAGGACGGCCTCCCATCGCTGCGCCTCTCTCAATCATTCACATCTTTGCGCTCACCCTCTTTGAAAGTTTGAAAGTGAGGAACAAAGTGCATATTCTGTAAGAGTATCCTAATTCTCTGCAACATATTATAAAAGAATCGATCGTCCGTCGTTGGTTCTCGTCCAGGGCGCCTCTCCTCCAGTATCACGATTTCATTGTTGTCACGTCACGCTCCCGCTCTGATAAGCCGAGAACAACAACAAAACTCAAACTCAGAGGGGACTCAATATACCGAGAAATCATGACAATGCGCCTCTACCTCCTCCCCCTTTCCACACGGCGGAGCCTCCTCTACGCCCAGCGCTTGCACCACGCGACCGCCGCCCCGACTGACACCTCGTACTTCGACCGCGGGGCCGCCTGGGCAGAGCGCACGTGGTCCAACTGGGAGAAGAAGGAGTCAGGATGGCAGAAGAAGGTGGTTGAGTACGGGAACCACGCGTTTCGGCGGATACCCTACGAGGAATGGGGCCTCAAGTCTGTGCCGCTGCTGTCGAGCCGGGAGCAGCTGCGGCGGCAAAGTGCGGACAAGGGCGAAGAGCAGACGCAAATGCAGACACAGACGCAGGGACTGGACCAAGATCACGTCGAGCTGGTGTTTCCGCAGAGTGTCATGTCTGAGGCTCAGGCGGAGGACGCGGTGAGAATGATGGGCAGTGAGCGGGATGGGCTGCATAGGCGGAGAATGTTGTGGTGTATTGTGGGAATGCCCATCACGATTCCCTTTGCGCTTGTGCCAATGTGAGTTTTCCCTTCATCTTCTCCCCTTCTACGTTCCCCCTTGGCTAGTCACGGGGGGATTGATCCTTGGTCAATCTGTCGGCCATCATTATTTGGGGTGTACCAATTTGTTGTATGCAGAAAAGACTCGTGTGAAGCACGCGCATTTTCTGCGTCTTCTTCACATGGTCAAAGCAAAAGACTTGAAGAAGAAAAAAAGAAAAAAAAGAATCAGGCTCTAACGCGGAAATGCCTTGCAGAATCCCCAACTTGCCCTTCTTCTACCTCGTCTACCGCGCTTGGTCGCACTGGCGCGCCATCGCCGGCGCCAAACACATCCAATTCCTGGTGTCCAAGAAGCTTCTCCGACCGACGGCATCCCCCGTCCTCGACGCTCTATACAGCCAAACAGGCGCTCAGCAACAAACACAGGCTCCCACTCCCTCGGATCCGAGTTCCTCAGGCTCTAGCCCTACCTCGCAGGAGACACTGCTCCTGACTCAATCCCAGGTGCGGAGCTTCTCCGAAAAACTGGACGTGCCAGCTCTAGAAATCGAGCTCGAGAGAGCAATCTGGCAGGTCGAGCAGGCCATTGGCAAGGACATTCAGGAGGAGGGGTCGAAGCCCCCGGGGGCTGAAAAAGAAAAGGAGTCATGAAAATATGAATATATGAAGGGTAATGTAATGTAACTGGGATCTGTATGATGACGCATATACGCTTCTCCTAAAAAGTCTTTGGCTGTTTCCAGTTCATAGAGGGATGGTTATATACAGCTGAGCGCGGGGGTTTTGCGCGCTATTTATGCGTATTTGAATGGGTATATCTCTTACCCGGGTAGCCTTCCCTCAGAGCCTCTATGAGAGCATTTTTCCACCCTGAAGCATGTCTGCACCTCTGCAAGATTCTCTTGGGTAGTTAACGGGACAGTTGCACTGGAGGACGAGTCATGGATGGCCTGCTGTTGATCCGAGGATTTTACGCGGTAGCAGTGTAAGCGACGTGCGTCGTATTGGGTCTTGGTGTGGACGTCTTTTGTTCCTTTGTTACACCGAGGGAGACGGAGAGGGCCAAAAATCGATGACAGTCGTGAAATCTACGTATTCCCGTTGCTTGATTACGGAGTGAGACCCTGCCGGGGATTCGATACACAGTACGTAGGGAGTATTTGAGTTCGAGCGCTACGGCCCATGTCCATCTGGCATCAACAATACACACGACAGGAATCCACAAGAACACCCACGCCCGCTTGATGAAAATAAAAGAAGCGCACTGCTTTCAGAGTCCAATTATTTTTGCAAGCTAGTGTGCAAGGAAGGAAGAAACGGATTAAATATGTAAGGATACCCAAATTATGCCCAGCCGGTCATCCTCAAACCGGCGATATGCTTAGGAACAAGAAAAGGAAAAGGTAGGATAGAAATATCGAAGCGAGTGGCCAAGGCCGTCCGCGTCGCCTTGGGTCCCCAGATGAATCATTATGTGTTGTATACCCAATTGTGGCGCGTGCCATCATTCTTCATTCCGCACGTCAAAGGACAAATAACCTCCAAACTGAACGACAACGCAGCACCATTACCCTAATAGACATGCTTACCGTAGTCGCGGCTTGCACTACTCCGAAATAAACGTAGCTTCCATCAGGAGCTGGCCCTCTTCGGCAACTTCTTGATCTCCGATTTTGAGCTTCAGTGTCATCTTTGGTGTGTACTGAGGACCGAAAAAGTTGTGTGTCAGTGAGGAGAGCAGCATGGAGTCTTCAGCCGACGACGATGACTGTCGTATATATTACATACCTGATAGATATAGGGTTTTGTACCTGCTGCAGCAGCCACGATGGTCTTGACGAAGCCCGGCACTTCTGCCATGACATCAACGCGGTCACTTCTCTGGCCCAAGCTGCCTTCGATGGTAGCGCTGACTAGCTTGGCATCCTTATTGGTGCCTTCCCATGCCATCTTGACCGCACTGGGTTCCGGCCACTCGTTCTCCGTATCGTTCTTAACCTCGACATGAACGATCTCGTGGCCGGCGCCAGCAGTGAGAATCTCGCCATCCTTGGCGATACCACCCACGTTGACCAAGGTGGTGCCGTACGAGGCGGGTGTAGTAAATTCCATCATGATGGCAGAGTAGCTGGGGCCCTGGAAGCAGACAAAATTCCACTTGGCAGCAGCGTGGTGAGGCTTCATGCCCTGTAGCGCAAACGAATACATGGCGCGACCCTTGAAGTCGACTGGGCCATCGGGGGTGGTGATTGTACCCTCGGCGGCGCATCGTGGCCAAAAAACGTGCCGAATGCAGCCCCACGGTTTCTCGAGGTTGGTGCCGTACTTTGTGGTTCCGGTCTTGCCGGCGACGAAGCCAGGGGCAGTTCTAGTAATCTTGATATTGACGATTGATCTCTCATCGTTCATGCTCTTGATGGTATACTCGTTTCCGTCTTGCGAGAGTTCCAGGACGCAGTCATCGGCAAAACAGCCGGTCTGGTCCTCATTGAATCCAAAGTTATTCAGAGGGGTCGAGCACCACAAGTGAGGCTTGGATGCATCTTTGGAGAATATTTTGGAGTTGAACTGGCAGGTGGTCCGCATGCCGCTGTTAGTCCAAAGGAAAGATGGTGCGATGTATTAGCTCAGAGTACATCCATGGTGGTCTTGAAGGTAAATCGCAAGACAAAAGAGGAGAAGAAGACGCTCCACGCACGCAACGTTACTATAGATGACTTGCACGAGACCAACGTCACCATTGTCCGACGCCAGATAAAAGGTCTGAGTCTCGACACAGGTCGAGTCCATGGCGTTCCATTTCAGGTCATCTCGGGTGATCTCCGTGTATGAGATGTCCTTTGCTTCTTCGGCGACGGATCTGATAGCTGACGGGCCATAGATGGGCTCCTGTGTGCCGGCGACGTTGGCCAGCCTGGCGACGGAGAGAACAGGATTCATGGGTTAGCTGAGACTGCGGAGCCATAGGGCGCAAGAGCCGGGGTATAAAGAGCTTCGCGCTTGTTCCAAACTTACTGTTGCTTTGCCCAGTTGAACATGATGTTGGGGGAGGAAAGCGTATCTATTTTGCTGCGAAAAGGAGGCAATGGTAGGGGAGGAATACGACAAGACGATCGATGCAAGTCTGCTGCGATGAGGAAGTGGGATGTAGAAATGCGCAGGGGGGCCCCTCACTGGCAGGGACTGGAAGGTGTGGTAGTAGCGCTGAGGAACAGAAGAGTGGCAGAGCAGTAGAGCAGAGCAACAGCGTGGCGTCGCCTGACGCATATGTAACCTCCTTGTACAAGTGGGGAAGCGAGGACCCGCGGGATGACCTCAGAGGCTCAGAGTCCAGAGTCCAGACGTTGCCGTTGTTCATCAGCGATCAAGCACGGAGAGCCTGGGTCCACAAATGAGTGGACCTGCCCATCCAAGACGAGATGTCGAGGGCATTTGTTGAACCGTGGTCAGACGCTTCACTCTAGAAAACAACGGCACGCGTCCACGGGTCACACTCCTTGCGCAATTTATCCTCTATCTACACTACTTACAAGGGGTTCTCTACCTATCTTCTGGATCTCCTGCTCCTGAAGGCCCCGAGGGCTCGATCACGCACTGTCTTACCCCGCCTTT